TATATTCATCATGGTTCTTAGTCTTCAAAATAATTCGATCTGCACTCCCTTTGTCATGATGTCTACAATCTGATTCTCAGTTCTGCAGTGTTCCAAATTCATCTTCCCATCTGCTACCTACTCTCGAAGATAGTGGAATCTCATTTCGATGTGCTTACTTCGACCATGTGTTATCGGGTTCTTCGCCAGATTGATAACTGACATGCTGTCAATCTTCATGGTAATTGCTCCATGATCTTTCCCTATTATCTCTTCGACCAAGTTCACCATCCAAGTTGCTTTACATGCACAAAGAGAAATAACTATGTATTCTGCTTCGCATTATGATAATGCCACTACTGGTTCCTTTCTTGAACTCTAAGCAAATGGTGCACCACCTAACATAAACACATATCCTGCTGTTGATTTTCGATCTTCAACATCACTACACTAACTCGAATCAGTGTATCCCACTAACTTGCATTCTTTTCCTTTATTAGCTGCAGGAAACAAAATGCCATAGTCGAGAGTTCCTTTGAGATATCTTAGTATCCTCTTTACCGCTGCTAGATGTGATACCTTTGTCTTCTGCATGAATCTACTTACCATACCCATGCTATATGCTAAGTCAGGTCTTGTATGACAAAGATATCTCAATGACCCAATAAGTCTTATGTATTGGGTTAGGTCTACATCATCTTCATCTGCATCTTTCGACAGTTGCGGTCTTGGTTCTGCAGGTGTCAAAGTTGTGTTGCATTCTTCCATCTCAAATCTCATGAGAATTTATCCTGCATATCTTCTTTGATGCATCATCAAACCTCTACTGCTCTTGTAGAATTCGAGTTACTTCCCCTTTAAGATTCATCTTTACTTTGTATACCTGCTTGACATCAATTGCCTTCTTGCCTTGAGGTAATTCGACAAGTGACCAAGTGTTGTTGTCTTCAATAGACTTTACTTCTTCATTCATTGCTTTCACCCACTTTGAATCCTTCAATGATTAAGCTGCATTGACAGGTCCAACATATGCGTAGAAAGCATAATGTACCAACTCACCTTAATTATCTATCACATTATCTAATATAATCACACAATCTTGCAATCTTGAGGCATGCGTCTTGTTCTTTGAGGTCTGCTTGTACTTGGTTGATTTATAACTGCTGGTTCCTTTTCTCGAACTTCTCTTTCGACTTGAGTTTTTGGTTCTTAAAGTAGGACTCCCACTAAACCTTTCTTGACATTTTCAGTCCAATCTCATTCTTTAAACTCATCTAGGATCACGTCCCTGCTGATCACAATCTGCTTGTTCACTGGGTCGGACAACTTGTAACCTCCTGTCGAATGATATGCAACTAGAATCATTTGACTCGACTTGTCATCAAAAGTTTTCTTCTCAACTGATCTGGAACATGTCTATATGCAATGGATCCAAATACCTTCAGATGATTCAAGCTAGGTTTCACACCAGACCAACATTCTTCTGGAGTAATTCCTTCTAGCTTCTTCGTAGGACATCTGTTTAAAATGTATGTTGCAGTCAAAACAACTTCACCCCAAAACTCTTTAGGTAAATTCTTGCCTTTCAACATACTTCTCACCATATTCATGATGGTTTGATTCTTCCTTTCTGCAGTTCCATTATGCTGTTGAGTATAGGGTGGCACCACCTCATGCACAATCCCTTCCTTTTCACATAACCTGTCGAAGTCTTTCGACACATAATCTCCACCACCATCAGTTCTCAAAACTTTGAGTTTTCGACCACTTTGTCTTTCGACCATAGACTTAAACTTGGCAAATACCTTGATCACTTCACTTTTCTTCTTGATCAGGTAAGTCCATAACTTTCGACTAAAATCATCTATGAATATAACAAAGTATTCGTTACCTCCCATCGAATCCACCTGGATTGGTCCACATACATAGAGTATATGACTTCAAGAATAGCCTTCGACCTGCTTCCTGCATCCTTGTTTAAGCTATTCTTGTGTTGCTTCGCTTGCACACATTCCTCACATACCTCGTTTGGAATATCGATTTCTAGAAATCCTGAAACCATATTTCTTCTCTTCGAATATCTGATGTCTCTGAAATTGAGATAGCCTAGTCGATAATGCCATATTTATTCATCTCTGCTATATGCAATCAAAAGACACTTGTGCTACATCACATTTAGTTTAATCTTGAAGGTTCGATTCTGAGACATAGGAGTCTTCAAGATTAATCTTTCATTTACGTCGACGACTCTCATCATCTTATCTTCGATGGACACTTTATAATTCTTTTCGACTAACTGCCCTATACTGAGAAAATTGCTCTTCATGCCTGGTATGTACAACACATTAGAAATTACTGACCTCTTGCCATCTTTTCTCATAATCTTAACATCACCAATACCTTCAGCTGCTAAGGTATTGTCATTTGCGAATTTTACCATATTTTTCATTGAGGGCTTTATGTTGACAAACCAGTCTTTCCTTCCAGACATATGTGATGAGCATCCTGAATCCAAGTACCATTGGTCCTTGAATTTATCTTCATCTCTTGTTGTGACCACCAACATCTTCTCTTCTTCTTCATGTTTTGTAAACTTTGCATCACTTTCTTGATTCTTTCGTTTTTCTGGACAATCACTCGAATAGTGACCATACTTCTGACAATTGTAACATTGAATATGACTTTTGCCAGGTTTTTGACCACCACCTCTTCCTCTATTTGCAACACCACCTATTTGGTTGCCTTGGTATCGTCTTCTTTGATTCGACACGTTTCCCTCGTTCTGGTTTCCTCTACCATTCGATTTGTTGTAGCTGCCTCTACCTCTGTCGAACCATTTTCCTTTGCCTTTGGTTTCTTTTGCTGAATGTGCCTGCAAAGCCACACCACTCTTCAATTTGCCTGCAACTCTTTCAGTCATTCTTTATTCATGATATTCAAGCATCCCTTGAAGCTCTTCCTTTGTCAATTTCGACAAGTCTTTCCCATCTTCTATAGCCACCACTACGTGTCGAACTTAGGAGCCAAAGATCTCAAGATCTTTGAAACAACAATTCTTGTTGTTAATGTTTCTCCACATACCTTGATTTGATTCACTAGTTTTGTAACCCTAGTGAAGAAGTCAGACATGCTCTCACTATATTCCATCTGAAGCAATTCATACGTTCTCTTGTGAGTTTGTAACCTCACTTCTTTCACCTTTTCTACACTACCAAAAGACTTCTCAAGTACATCCCAAGCTTCTTTTGCAGATTTTAAATCACTCACTTTTTCAAAATTTTCTAGACTCACACATTGATGAATTATAAAGAGTGTTTTATAGCTCAGCTTCTCAATTTCTGTGTGTTTCTTCTTTTCTTCTTTTGAAGTGTTTTCTCCGAGCGCTTCGAATCCATCTTTTACAAGATCCCAAAGACCTTGACACCTGAACAAAACTTCCATCTATTTGCACCAATTCTCATGGTTGTCTACTTTCAGAATTGGTAGAGTTGCTGGATAATTTGCATTCCCATAATTCGCCATCATGAATTCTTTTTCTTCCTCAATCGTTCTTGATCGATACTTTTCTTGAATCGAAATCGAGCTCTGATACCAGATGTTAGGAATCCACCAAATATCTATGATGAATTTCCACCAATCTTGATGAACAAGATTGATATCACCACACAATGACAATGAATTATGAGGGGGAAAAAGAAAGGAGACAATTATTTTTTAGAGAGTTTCTCTCTGCCCACAAACTATGGAAAACTTTGTTATTCGCTTGTAACTGCAATTTTTGTTAATACAACTTAATTGACTTGATTACAAAATTAGGGGTTACTCCCTCTATTTATAGATTTAGCTTGCTCCCTAAGCCAAAAACTATAAAAACTCAAAATACTTATTTTGTTACTAAATCAAATCTATTCTATTTTAGACATAAATCAAATCTATCTAAATCTAAAACAAATTTAATCTATGTGCAGTTTACTTCGATCCATAAACTCTTCGACTGAACAATGACTTCATTCGAGTAACCTGCTTCGATCCACCTCTAAACTTTTTGACACACATAATTTCGATAATATGAATTACAATTTAACATTAATTATATTTTATATTAGATCATATCATTTATATAATTACATTGTAATAGTTGCTATGTCTAAATTAATAAATATATCCCAGTGGTCACACGAGTATTTTTCTCCATCTGACGTCATTATTTTTTTAATTTTTATATAATTAAATTTATATGATAATGATTTATTTTATAATTAAATATTTCATTTTAAATTTATATGTATATTTAAATATATTTTATAAAATATAAAATAAACATGTGAAAGAGTATTTTACTGTTTTTTTCTAATTTCTTCACCATCTAATCTAACCACTAATATACAAAATAGTTTTTATTTCTCTTTTCTTGCATAAGTCGTGATTACCAAAAGCGGTTTCTCTTCTATTATTTCAAAAATTTGTTAGACAATAAATATTGATGATTACAATTTATTTTTAAAAAATTGAAAGATGACAACATTTTAAAAATTATATTTTGTTGAAAAAATAAAAAATAAAAAAAATAAAAATTATACAATGCTATATTTAAAAAAAAATATTTAATTACTACCAAAGATGTTTCACTGTAAATTTCTTCAAACTGTCTTAGTAATTAGTATTAAATATTTCTATAAATTCATAAATATCAAATATTATCATTAATTCAAATTAAATGGTGTCTATAATTAAAATAAAATAAAATAAAATATTATAACGAGAAACAATCATCATCTCATTTCCTTAAACATGAATTACTAAAAATAACTTAACAATTTCATCAATTCCGAATCATTTCTTTTTAAATTTAAAAAATTCTTAACAAAATACTAAATTACAATATACCTTTTGAATTACTACTTTTAATTTTAATAAACTTAAAAGTTACATGTTATACTAACGGTATAATATTTATATGTTTCTGACAATGTTACTATAAAATAGCCTCTACAATTTTCTTTGAAATGTCATAATTCAACATGACTTCTTCTTCCACCACCAAATTGACTCTCAAACTTGTTATTGACAAAGAGAATGAAAGAGTTCTATTTGCAGAAGCATCAAAGTCTGTAGTAGACTTTCTTCTCAGCTTGCTATGCCTGCCTTTAGGCACTGCAGTAAAGCTTCTAGGCAACAACAACATGGTTGGTAGCATAGGAAATCTGTATGAGAGTGTAGAAAACCTCAACCACATTTATATGCTGCCAAATCAAACTAAGGATGTTCTCTTGAATCCATCACATGAAGAACCTGGCCTACTTTTAAGTGGAGTCTCTACCTTTATTCTCGAAGCTGAGTTGGACAATGAGGATGAGGAGGATGATGAGGACTATGATGAGGAAGAGGAGGATGAAGAGGAGGAAGAGACGGAGGATTCTGAGTCCCAGTCTGAGTCCGAGTCTGAGGAGGACAATGAAGGCAATCTTGGAGGAAGGCCTTTGTATTATAAGTGTCCAAATAACTGCAGTTATTATGTGACATGTGATGAAACAACTATTTGTCCTCGTTGCAACATAGCTATGAACATTGAAACACATTATGTTGGCAAGAGGTTTGAGAATGGTTATGTGAAAGATTATGTAACTTTCTTGGTGATGGATGATTTGGCCATTCAGCCTATGTCGGCTTTATCAGTTTTAACCATACTTAACAAGTTGAATGTGAAAGAGATAGGTACCTTTGAGGAAATGGTGGTTGAATTGGGGATGGATGAGGTAAGTATATGTCATGTTTTGCAATTAAATTTTACTGTATATTTTGTGTTAGAATGACATGTTTTTTGTTTTGTTTGTTCATATACAGGGTATCGAGCTGCTTAAAGCTTCTCTTCAATCCAAGATGGTTTTAACAAGTGTTTCATCAAGAAATATTGAATCTTCACCAATAATTTCAAAGATGTTTTTTTTTTGGTAATCTTGATAGTATCAAATGTGTATTGAACTTTCTGTCATTGGATGTAATGTTCTTTGCTTCTTTCTAAATGAAATTAATTCCGATTATATATTCTATTTCTTTTGTTTTTGATAAGATAATTTTTTTTTGGAACTACTTCAACTTTATTTTTATATATATATATATATATATATATATATATATATATATATATATATATATATATATATATATATATATATATATATATATATAATGAGCATATCCATTACCAAAAAAAAAAGCATATCTGATAAAAACTGACATCCTCATGAAAAACAAAAACTATTAATATTATCTATAATTAATGTCTATGATTTAAAAATTTCATATAAAAACAAAATACATAATTATTTTCTATTCAACTTAACATTTAATATTTTATAAAAATTCTTATCGTGAATATTAAATTATTATTAAAACTAGTAAAGGACCCGTGCACTCGCATGAAGTAATACTGATGGGTGATATCGGGGATGGGCTTACAGATGTCATTTGTAAGAAGATGATGAAAGATCGTCGGAGATGGGCTTAAAGATGCCATCCAGAAAAGATATCGGTTGCATAAGAGATTCCTTTGCGAGAATTCCTGTATCTACCGTTGAGGAGGACTTCGCTGGAGAATGTTGATTTACGTCTTGGAAAATAGAGTATAGGAGCTTCGATTGTCCATTACTCTATTGGGGAGTTAACTCCTGATTGAGGAGGTGGGGAGTAAGTTGCGTATCCGGTTAGGGTCCAGGCTACACCGCGACTTACTGGGAAAATGCGAGATCGACCGTATCTGGTCGGGTCCAGGTCTTGCAGTATTGTGAAATGTTGTTTGGAGATAAGAGAGAAGGAACCTGAATAGTAGGGTTGCTTCGAAATGAAAGCCTGGATAGTAGGGCTATGAGAAGGAACCTGGATAGTAGGGTTACTTCGGGATGAAAGCCTGGATAGTAAGGCTGTGAGAAGGAACCTGGATAGTAAGGTTATGAGAAGGAACCCGGATAGTAGGGTTACTTCGAAATGAAAGCCTGGATAGTAGGGCTTATGGGAAGGAACCTAGATAGTAGGGTTACTTCATTTGGTCGCGTAGCCTGGATGTAGATATGACATGTATAACTGATGGAATTGCTGGTGTTAATTATCTTTCTTGAAAAGATAACAGGGTTAATTATATGCGATGCATGAAATGCATTGTGAGATGATGCTCTCAAAATAAATGAGACTATGCTGTATGTGATATGTATGCGCATGAACATGAAATGCTATTATGACAGGTCCGAGTCTGGGAAAATAAATTCACGACTACTGCTGGAGAGTACAGCATTCCTAACTGTTGTAGAGAATTGTGGTTCTTCTACTTCCGCTGGGGATGGTGAATGGAAATTACTATGCTGGAGATTTACTCCTTGTTGTTTGTGAATATTCTGCCAGGGAGATAATCTTGTTTGAGAATAGCTCTGCGGGGGAATAATTCTGTTGGAGGATGAACTTCCATAGCTGAAGGAATAAGCTCTGTTGTGGGTTGAGTTTCTGTATTCAGAGAAATTAACTCTGCTTGGGAGACAAATTTTATGACCCACTTGCGATTATGAGATTCGACTGGGGAATATAGATGTCAGATTTCTGAAAGACCCTGGCTGGGGAGATTACTTTCTGTTTTGAGAAAGCTGATATCAATGCTTTGATTGCTTTTACTCTGTGGGGAGTACAAATGCCACGAGGTTGTATGCATTGATGACTTTGCTTCAAAGTTGTCTCTTCCCTAGTACCTGCTGGACAGAGTAATTGTCGGATTTGACATTTCTTGTTTTTGCCCCTGTTTCTTAAGTTACGAGCAATTGTCTTTCCGTTTCTTATGTAAATATTTATGAACAACAATCATATTCAAATGCATATGTCAAGAATAAATCATTGGACGTTCTTGCAAAACAAAACATAAAATAAAAAGAAACACGTAGTTTGTAAAATGATTTGTATTGATTTTCGAAGTTGGCCTATAACAGGCGTTTTTGTACAAGGGAGCTGACACTCTAGTAAGAGAACGCCGCTGAAAAATGGAAATTATACAATATTGTGTAATAAGAAAACAACTATGTACAACAATCCAATTGGATTTCAATTCTGCTATTGTCGCTCTGTCTTCGAGCGTCTCATCACTTTGCTTACTTGTCCGAAGCTGATTAGATTGATTGGTGTCGTTCGAGCTTGATAGTTGATACTGACGTCTGGCCGTAAGGTGATCCAATGGGACATAGTGATACGCTTTACATCCCCAACTTTTGCATGGACTTCCCTTTCGAGTTTTCAGTCGGGAAGGGTTTTTATTTTTGGGTTTTTATTTTTTTCCGAACCCTTTTGGTTCGCCGGGAAGCCCTTATTTTTTCCTAGGCCAGTCAACCTAGCGGGTCTTTTATCATGCGTAGTATCTTTTCACTATGTTCGTATTGACAGGGTGAGGAAGGTCGTCACCGTCCATGGTGGTCAGAATCATGGCTCCACCCGAGAAAATGTTTTTAATCACAAATGGCCCTTCGTAGGTGGGAGTCCATTTTCCCCTGGGATCACCTTGTGGTAGTATGATGCGCTTGATTACTAGATCCCCGACTTGATATTCTTAACGTCTGACTTTTTTGTTGAAAGCCTTGATCATTCATTTTTGATACATTTGACCATGACAGACAACAGTAAGTCTCTTCTCATTGATCAAATTTAGTTGATCAAGTCGAGTCTGGATCCAGTCGTCTTCGTTCAAACCCGCATCTTTCATAATCCTTAAAGAAGGAATCTAGACCTCAATGGGTAGGACTGCCTCCATGCCATATACCAGAAAGTATGGTGTTTCCCCTATCGACGTCTGTGCTGAGGTACGTTATCCATGAAGAGTGAATGGTAATATCTCATGCCAGTCTTTGTATGTCACTGTCATCTTCTGTATAATCTTCTTGATGTTCTTGTTAGCCGCTTCAACATCGCCATTCATCTTCGGCCGGTAGGGAGAAGAGTTATGATGTTGTATCTTGAATTGCTTACAGATCTCGGTGATCATCGTGTTATTGAGATTCATACCATTGTCAGTGATAATTCTTTCTGGCACACCATACCGACAAATCAGGTTATGCCTGATGAATCGCGCCACAACGTTCTTGGTCACAGTAGCAAAAGAGGCCGCCACAACCCATTTTGTGAAGTAATCGATGGCTACCAGTATGAAGTGATGCCCATTGGAAGCGGTAGGCCTAATTTCTACGATCATGTCAATGCCCCACATTGCAAAGGGCCACGGAGCTGTCAAGACATTCAAAGGAACCAGAGGCACATGCACCTTATCAGCATAAATTTGGCACTTATGACAAGTTCGAGAGTGTTGATAACAATCTGCTTCCAAAGTGGACCAATAGTATCCTGCCCGTAGGATCTTCTTAGCTATGGTATGTCCACTTAAATGGGTTCCGAAGGTACCTTCATGTAAATTTGTCATAATCCTCTCCGCTTCGCTCTTGTCTACACACCGCAGTAAGGTAGAGTCATGGTTGCGCTTGTAGAGGATTCCATTATTGAGGAAGAATTTCGCAGCGAACCTTTTTAGAGACTTCTTATCATTGACAGATGCCCCTTCGAGATACTCTTAAGTCTCGAGGTACTTCTTCACTTCATGAAACCAAGGTTTATCTGCTACCTCTTCAGTATTAATCTCGCAGCAGGGTGCTGGTTCATCCAACCTTTCAATGGTGATTCAGGGAGCTTCGTTGTCTCACCTGACCTTGAACATAGAAGACATGGTGGCTAACGCGTCCGCTAACTGATTCTCCTCTCGCGGGAAATGTTCAAAGGTTACCTCCTCAAAGTGCAGGAGAAATGTCAGCACATGCTCTTTGTATGGGATGAGATTCAGATGCTTCGTGTCCCATTCACCTTTGATCTGACTTATCACTAAGGCTGAATCCCCGAAGACACTTAAGACCTTGATCCTGAGGTCGATAGCGGCTTTGAGACCCATGATGCAGGCTTCATACTCCGCCATGTTGTTAGTGTAGTTGAAACATAGTCGGGCAGTGAAAGGAGTATGACAACCCTCAGGAGACATGATTACGGAGCCAATGTCATTACCGAGTGCGTTCTAAGCTCCATCAAAAACCATAGTCCATCGGGATCCTTCCTCAGGTCCTTCATCCGATCCAGGTTCTTCGTAGTCAGTCACCAGCATAATATTCTCGTCCGGGAACTCAAAATTCATGGACTGGTAGTCATCCACGGCCTGATGAGCCAAATGATCAGCCAATACACTCCCCTTGATTGCTTTCTGGGTTGTATATTGTACATCGTATTCAGTTAAGATCATCTGCCATATCGCTATTCTTCCGGAGAGTGTGGGCTTCTCGAAGATGTATTTGATTGGATCCATCTTAGATATCAACAAAGTAGTGTGAGTCAACATATACTGTCTCAGTCGGCGAGCAGCCCATGCCAAAGCGCAACAAGATTTCTCGAGCAATGAGTATCTTGTCTCACAGTCGGTAAATTTTTTGCTAAGGTAGTATATTGTGTGCTCTTTTCGACCAGACTCATCATGTTGTCCCAGCACACACCCCATTGAATTGTCTAGCACCGTTAAGTATAATATCAAAGGTCTTCCTTCAACCGGAGGCATCAAAATTGGCGGTTCTTGAAGATATTCTTTGATCCTTTCGAAAGAAGTCTGGCATTCGTTATTCCACTTTACCACTTGATCTTTCTTCAGAAACTTGAAGATGGGCTCACAAGTAGCAGTCCGATGTGAAATGAACCTGACGATATAATTCAAGCGTCCCAAGAAACCTCTAACTTAATTCTCAGTACGGGGAGCTGACATCTCTTGTATGGCCTTTAACTTTGCGGGGTCTACCTGAATACCTTTGTCACGGATGACGAAACCCAGAAGCTTACCCGACCTTACCCCGAAGGTGCACTTGTACGGATTCAACCTCAACTTGTATGTCTTCAACCCGTCGAAT